CTTATTTTAAATACAAAAACAAAAATAGATTAAAAGAGAATACAGAAAGATACACCATGCTAGCACTACTCATGAGTAGCTATATTAATTTCAGACAAAGCAGACTTCAGCACAAGGAAAATAAACAGGGATAAAAGAAAGCATTATAAAATTATAAAGGAGTCAATTCTCCAAAACATAACAGTTCTTCAAATGTATGCACTTAATAGACTGTTAAGAGGCAAAACTGATAGAACTTCAAGGGGAAATAGATGAACCCATTATAACTGAAGACCGGCGCCGGCCCTTCCCGCCCCGCAGAGGCCCGCGCGGCCTCCCTCCCCACGCGGGGACCCGGGGCGGCAGCCGCCGCATCCCCCCTCCTTCTGGCGCCCCGCGCCCCGCCACCGCCGCCGTACTCACCTAAGGGCGCAACCGGCACAGCCGGCCGTCGGCCTCGTTCCCCCCGAAGCGTCTCGGTGCGGTACTCCCTGCGTGGGCGGGCTGTTCCCCGGCGGTGGCAGGGGGTTCAGGGGTGGGGGGCCGAGGAACGGCCGTCACTTGAGCAACGAACCGAAGCGCCGCCTGGTGGCATTTTCCACAGGCCGGCGCCACCGCTGCCGCCTTGGGTCCGCACAGCCCCCTGCCGGCCGCAGCTCCTGCTGTCTCGCCGAGCCCACAAGCCTCCACGGACAGGCCAGGGAGCCGCGGCGCGCGACGGAGGCCGGGCGGGGATGTGCGCTGACTCTTTCCTGTGGGACTGCGCGCATGCGCACCAGCAGGGCGGGACCAGCGGGGACCAATTGGAGTAGGAATTGTGTTCCTCTTTAACCAACTAGAGAGACAGTGAGAGAGAGAGACAGAGAGAGACAGAGAGAGAGAGAGAGAGAGAGAGAGAGAGAAAAAGACTTTTATGGACTGAGATCTAAGAATGCCCAGATTCATGAGAAGTTTTGGACAAAGGTGCTAATCAACTTATCCAGGCCTTCTTGTGACCCTTATACCCTCAAGATGTGTGATCTTTTAAAAATAACTATCTATACATTAATCAAAGATGAGAATATCTTGGTCTCTATCACTTTTTTTGAATCAACAATATTTTGCCTCTCGTTCTGTTTACATCTTCCAGTGCTGTCTTAGCTCTCCAAAGGTAGTCAGTCAACCCTGAAACCCTTCCTTTGGAAGCAGATTTAGGTACGAAATGATTTCTTGATGCTGTTGAGACCTACCTCTCGCCAAGAACTTTGGCTGCAAATCAAGGAAGCAACTTCCCATGTGACC